CGCCGGTAGCCAGTTTCTCTCGGTCAGTCGCTCGTCTCTTTTTTTTTTACAGTTCGTTATCCATCCGGTGAGGCGAGGAGACGAGGAGGGAGGGAGGGGAGGCGAGAGGGGAGGGAAAAGAAGAGGTTTGGAAGAGGTCGCGTGACGTTTGCGGGGGTCAGACATAGGGAATAGGGCGCAAGCGCAGTTATGCCCGTTGAGACTCGTCGAGCACATGGCCGAAACTTGCTCCTATTAACGCGCCTCCACTCCACGGATTCGTCTACTTCGAGGGGTTGAGGGATTGGATAAATAGTGTGGGACGACAGTGGCTCGTTCTGTTTTATTTTTTTCGCGGCTACGAAGAGTGGTAGTGGTGGAGGAGGAGGAGGAGGAGGAGGGAGAAGGATAATTAAAATTGTTCGGTTCGAGATCGTCGGTAAAAATTTGGTTTGTTTTTGGGAGGAGAGAATTATTTATTTTTATAATTTTTTCAAAACTCGATGAACGATAATCAGCGGGATATTTGAAGATTTCCAAGATCGGAAAAATTCGTTTTCACGTTGAATGACACCTGTTTCGCGAAGAGAAGAGAAGAGAAGTTATTTCGATCGAGGAAATCTTAGTAAGTATATTTTTTTCTTTTTCGACGAATACGAAAATTGGAGAACAATCGTGATTGAAGAGGATTGAACGACAACCGTTTTCGAGGCAGAAGGAGGGAAGAGGAACGAGCAATGGATGGACGATTCGGTGCACAAGCTCGTTGTCATGTTACGAATATATTATCTTTAATGGAGGCGCGTCACTCCGCGCTTCTCTTGGCCTCGAAGAAAAATAAAATGCGGAGTTATGGAAGACGAATTTTATTTTTCTCATCGTTCAAAATGTTAAACGATGTAAATGAAAGGAAAAAAAAGAAAAAATTGCTGGAACAAGAGAGCACCTCGAGTTACAAAGATCATTTTTTAAAAACAATATATACATATATATATATAAAATTCAAAAATTTGAGAAATAGTTTGATCTAGAAATATGAGAGAGAGAGAGAGAGAAAATAAATAAATTATTATTATTATTAAATTAAATTATAAATATTGAAGTATTAAAATAAGATGAAAGTTTGGAGAGTAATAAACAAGACGTCCTTGACCCAGGTCAAACGGCGAATGGACTTGTACAAACCTTTCTTGGTTGGCGTAACTCGTAAATGATCACGATTCTTCTTCTCGAAGAAAATTTATGGTCGGCCTCCCTATCTGTGATATTGAAAGAGAGTAGTGTAATAGTGATCTATTATTAAACATTCGCGTGCTGACTGTAATAGAGTGCAGTGCCCTAAGGTCACGGAGATCGGAGTTCATCGATCGATAGAAGAAGGGGTGAGTAAACTGTTCCACGCCTGTTGATCTTTTTAACGCGTGCGATTATTGTTTATTGTTTATCGAATTTTCGAATAAATAATATATTCCTTCGTTTTTTTTTAAATTGTTTTTGTCTTCATAAAAACGACAAAATAAATCTTCGCACACGATAGCGTTACAGGTTTAAAGTTTATTATATTATTTATTATAATTTTTGTAAGATATAATTTTCTTAGAACAATATATATAAATTAATAATGGAAGAATTATTTCGATCTATTCGAGATTTAAAAATTTGATTCGATGATTTTTTTTTCTTGGCTTCTTCGATTTCGAAAAATCAGTTTTGAGTATATAATTAACATTTTATTCTTCCTCTAATATCGATATTTTAAGAAAGTATATATAATTGTCGTATTGTACGAGAGGATGTGAATAATCGAAGTTTAAATTCCATTTATTTATTTTTCTTGATTTGTGATAAATAAAATTTATATTTTTGGATCTCGATGTGTAATTTAATAATTTCGTAATACGATTTTTGTAACGCGATATTTTTGTAAAAATTTAACTCTCGTATTGTACGAAAGATAAATTTAAAATTCGATTCGATATTTGCATAAAACTTTGATCGATAAAAGGATAACTGTATCATTACGCAGGTGGTATTAAATATCGTTTAATTATAAACGAGAAACGTGCACTATTTAATATTGATGGCTCATATGTATTACAATACGAATAATTAAAGCTTACATGATTAACAACTCGATCGATGAATAATTAAGTATATCCGTCCAATCTACTTGTGAGCAATACGTAATTAAAATTCAACGTTATTGAGCAAAGTTCTGATTAGATGGCTGGATTAGCCCGAATGTGTTTTCAACGAGTGCATTTTACTGCTTCTCCAGCTTGTTTGTTAATTAAATTTACACAATTCCTATGTTAATTTACTGTGTCAACAGCATTACAATTTATAATGCAATTGAATTAAATATTTATTTTTAATTTTTTTTTTTTTTGGAATTAAAAACAATTTAATCGTAGATTTTCTAATTTTATGTATCATATCTTGCAAATTAACAAAGAAACTACAAACATTTTTTCTAATAATTAAATTTTCCATTCTTCCTTCAAATTTTTGAAGAGGAATGATAACGAAGTTAAGTCAGAAAAATTCGTTCGGAACTGCTGTTGAATTGAATTTGAAATTTGAATTCCATGCACGATCGATGAAAAGATTCGATGATTCGAATTCGAGGAAAAGAGAGAGGTGGAAAAGTGAGAGCTAGAAAATGGAGTTTCCGAGTAACAGTTCATAGGGCGTAGCCCAGGGGGCATTCTCAGTCGTAGAGAGTTTTCCAGAGTATCCGCGGCTACGACAGATCCGCGCTTTGGTTTTTACGATGTAAGGGAGAAAGAGTGCTGTGGCGGGGTTTGAAAATGCGGGGTGTAACTGTCAGCCGAGCAATAAAACTTTTAACGCCTTCGTGTCCAATAAGCGTATCGTCCACCGAGTTTTACATTGGGCGGTGTCCTGCGGCCATTACTCCGGAACGGGACGATGCAGCACGCTGATTGGTCGACCGATGCATCATGGCCGCTCCGTATCCACGATTTCCCCCACCAATCCATCTACCGACAGCATTTTCCATCCCTCCAATGAACCACTCTCTATCCTTGTTATGTTAAATCTTCGAGGGTAAAGCGATACGATGCAAGAGTTTCTTATTCGTGGCCAAGTAACAATTCGTGATTCTCTTCTATAAAGATTTTTCGAGGGGAAGATTCTCGTTTTTTGAAAAAAATGGATAATACATTTTGTGCATGGATAACATACACAATTTGTTTTATAACTCGATGAATGATATGCTATATTGCTATTTTAAAATTCATACTTGAATCTAATGATATATGCAAAATTTTATCATTATTAATTATTTATATTTATATTAATACGAACGGATTAGTTTTTTATGTGAAAAATCTGTCTTTTCTAAATTATTTAGTATATAATTACGTTTAGAGTAATATTTCTATACATTTTCTGTAAAATTTCTAATAATTTACGATAGAAATAACAATGAAGAAATTGTTATTCTTTTCCATTCATTCGATTAATTTAGTTACGAACTCTGCTGAGTTCAGCACTATATAGGTCGATAACTTCAATCGCAGCCTACTTTACCGATCGTATAAATGTTTCCTACTATATTTGTATTGGTGTTAGCACGCAACCAATCAAACGATCGCTATAATACGTTATCGTTTCAAAAACTTTCTTAATTTTCCATGTACCCCGTATTGCAGTTTAAGAAAATAATGATTACATACATTTCACGAGTTTATGCATTTTAATCAAGTCTAATCCAGTTTAAGTAAGATAGTTATCAAAAACTTTTTTGTTTTTTCCTATTTCGTCTTATACATTATATAATAAAAAATATAACTTTCGCGATACTATCCAGTTTTAAAAATATCTCGGCCAGTCATCAAGCTTTGCGTTAAAATTTTAATCTAAGAAGCTTTAGATGAAGAAGAGAAGGAATAAACTATCTAAAGATACGGAGGCGGAAGAAAAAAAAGTAAGCTTCAATTTCACCATGTCTTGACGACGGCGAGCATATTGGCGTCAACGCAAAATACGCGCCAGAGGCTTACTTTGGAAATAGACTGGGCGGGGAAACTCAATTTTACTAAAATCCTCCCGTAACCGTGTGGAAGTATATAAATAGGTATATACACACACATACCTGTATCATGTTACTTTCTACCAGACAGTCTTCATTTTATCTCGTTCTAGTCACCATGTCAAACAACTATATCCATAGCTATAATGCGTATTATGTATATACAGTAACTAGGTGTTGTTCGCAAGCATATACACATTAGTATAGGTTATATATAGATCAACGTTGGCTCATATATTCAATACACAAAGTGATGTCGCAGGTTTATATAGGTGAGTTTTGTCGTTGAGCTATAACTAGAGATACGATGTAGTACATAGGATGCAAACTCATAAACCCCCACCTCATCTATGTCTTCCTGAGGCTTCTTCAGACAGCGTTACCTTTACCTAAGGCCGAAACGACCATATCACCTACACGACAGCAACACCTTCGACGACGAAAGTGACGTAGGCACGAACTACACTCGTTGACGTCGACGGCAGCGCCAATAAACAAGGCTCCCGCGCCCGCCTGACTTTCGATTATGTCATAGACTACATATTTCATCTGGTTGTGAACCCCGCGGAAGCGTGTGCTCATCTATTATTCTTCGCACAAAAGCTTGTGTTTCGAGAAAATATTACGTTGACTTATCGGATTTGTAAATTAGTCGAAGTTTCGAAAGTGAGTTATTGAAAATATGTACAGAGGTTAAATGAAAGAATAGAATTAATCGGTTATGAGACATTACGAGATCACGGGATATTTTTCGGCTGGAGTAAGCACGCACGCGCCTAAACTTGATGCGTAATCAAAGCGTGATTCGCTTCGTCATGTATATCGAGGAATACGCGACTGTTCTTTGGCATTCTACACATACATGTGTATGCGAGGACAGAAGAGGAGGAACTCTGCACGGATTAACTGTGACCAGTATGTGCCACGACACGCAGTCGGGTCGATCGTCGGATTCATTAAATTTTATCCGACGGGTTGCAAACGTGCAGTCAAAAAATTCGTTTGACTCTATCTCTATCTTTATCGCATCGTGAACGCGAGTGAAACTGTACTTGTTAACGCGCATGCGTCCAGTAATATCGTATGCCTTCGGAGTGGTAACATGCGTCATATATATGACCACGTGACTATTTTACTTTTGAAGTTGAATAATATACAGTTTATATCGGAATTTCTGGCTAACATGGTTTAATACAGGTCAGTATTTCCATTATACTTTACCAGTAGATCCACTCTTAACTCGTTCTTAACTCTCTTTGAAATTTATCTCCTACGTATGAAGCGTCGTGTCACATCGAATGCTATATTCACGCAGCTTGTCACGTACATTTCGACAATGCATGAGAAACAAACATATTTTTGCATGACAATTATTCAGACAGTCGTCACTAAATATAAGCAACGAGTTAAAGAAGACAGTACAATATACGAAAAGCGCACAAAGTCATTTTAAATCATTATTATATCTTCGTTGGCAAATGTCAAAATATATTACACTTCCTAACCTCTACTATCATCTTTGTTTCTTGACATTCATTTCTCTTTTCGATTAGTTATGATGCAGTTGAATACAGTTGAATACTCTTTGAATTTAAGTCTACTTAAAATCGTAGTTTTAATATCATTTAACATTATTAAATATGACAGTGATTGGTGAAATATATATCTTATCAGTTAAAATGATATCAAAATTCTTTCTTTTTTTTTTTCTTTAATGTCGTACAATTATTTTTTATAATATTTGGCGTTATGATTATCAAGGATATCTTTATTCTCGTATTCATTTAATCAGATATCGAATAGAATTCTTAATTTTTTAGTTTCTAATCAATCGTTTATCAAACGTGATCGCGATTACATTTCACAAAAGTATAACGGATAGGCAATCATAGTTTAACAAACTACGTTCTCATTTTTAACAGCTGAAAACATGTTAGTAGTTAGGACAAATTCCTGACGATGGCGCGCTAAGATTATTCGATCGCGGGATATCTTTACGACAGTATATAAATCTTTTGCTCCTGTTGAATCACTGCTTCATAGTCGCGATTAATTTCGAATCAGTGAGGACGTTGCAAATCGTTTAAATCTTCATAAAACACGCTTTTTGAATTTATACGAGGCAATGAATCATTCGTTGACAGAGCAAAACCGCGATGATGACTCGTTGAAAACCATTCAGAATTCAAGGTGGACATTTTGGAGGGAAAGAAGCATGTCTAGGGAAATGATATTTCCAATAATCTGCTATATTTTTCATGTAAGTCATTAAGTCATAATAGATTAAATATTATTTCGAATAATTTTATATTCGAGTATGTAAATATTTTGATTATTCTCTTGTATAACTATGTTTCGATTTAATACGTATTACGAAAATGATAGAGAAGCAATCAGTTACAAACTAACCTCTTTATACGCGGACATTTTTGTTAAGCTTAATAAGAAGCAAACAGTACAGCATACAGAGTTTTACCGTAATATTCATAAACCGTAAGCTATTACATTTTATGATTCTATGTCTTTACATTTGATTTATCATTGTCCACATACGGATAATTACGACCTCCCGCTGATCGTTTGATTTATCACGATTGTACAATTAACCACGCATCCTGAAAGATTTATGCTCGAGAATGTCATATGAAGCGTATATATTCAATGTTGTAAGCAACTGGCATTCAAGACCAATTGCTACGTAAAATAAAGTCGAAATAAGGTTCTTTCTCTTTTTTTTTTTTCTCTTTCACCTGTTCTTTTCCGTCTTTTCGAAATTAACATGATACAAAATAAATGCTGTTTTTATTTCGTCTTACGCATTTTTATATATATATATTTTTTTTTTCCACGAAGTTTGTGTTTCGTGTTATCCATAAAAGATCATCTCGTTACACAATCGTGAATTTCATGGTCGTGAATTTTACAGGAAAATGATACGAAAGTAATATGCAATTTCATTAACGCATGCGTGCACACACAAATGCACGCAATTTCGCTTATTTATAATTAAAAAGTGTTCTAATTTATTAACGATGCTCGTTTCAGTAGGTAGTTTTTATTTCAACAGGCGTAAACAGTAAACCAGTAAAATACGAATTTTTACAGCATTTTAGAAAGATATGTTTTTTTATAGAAACAATTTACAAATATCAATCGTGAAATATATCTATATTTTCTTTATATTTCATATCGAAGGCTCCATCATTTCTTTATTTTATTGTTTTTCATATTCGATAGAAAGGTATTCGAACAAAAGTGGAAAATTGAAAAAAAAAGAACGACGGCAAGAAGGTAATCGAACGGAAGCTTGGTTGTTTAAAGCTGACGTGATAGAAATTGGAAATCGAATTTTTTCTGTCATCCTTTTCTTCTTCATACTCCTTTCTCGTGTCTCGTACTTGAATCCATCTCCATATACTGAAAACATAACAGTTCATGATTGTATTGAACATAAAATAAATATGAAATATTCCTTGACGTCAGGTATTCTTAATAAGATGCAAATAGAGATTTAAATTAATAAAAGAAGTAAGAGAATAAATGTGAAATTGAGTATATTTTATATTGCTATTTTTTCTTGAAATTTTTTGACATTTCCTATTTTGCAGAACGGTAAAATTGTTTGAATTATTCAAATAAGTACATATAAACGAATTTAACATCGAATGAAATAATATTACAATTCTAAGAACTAATTTATTAATTCTCAAAATCAATAAACCTAAAAAGATCCAATCTGAAATGGATCCGTTAGATAAAAGAATCGATCGCGACTATGCCACTTAACCAACATTTACGATAAGAAAAATCGCAAAGGAATGCGAAATTCTAATGCAGCTTTCTTTCGCTACTATGGCATCTAACGATTCCGAGTCACGCGAGTATTTCTTTGTCACTGTTTGAAAGATCCGTTCAAAAAGATAATAATATATTGAGTATACTTTTTTATAATTCGTATTATTGATACTCTTATATATAGGTATGTATAATGTGTATATTATCAAACAAAAAGAATCTAGAATCTAATGTTGTTTTGAAAACTCATGAATCAAAAGTTAGATTAGAATTTTTTATTATTAATCTCCATCGATTTCTGCTAGTCATAGTTTACCAAACATTATTTAAACATAATTGTCTATAAAATTTGTATTATTATGATATTGATTGCTTTTAGATTAGAATTTTATTATTATCATTGTTATTATTAATTGATATCAATTTCTATTAGCCATTAGGATTAACGTCGTTAAATCTTTTTATTGGCTACGTTATTGATTAACATTTTATAACCTTAAAAAATTTATTTGTTTGTAATTTATCGAAAAGAAAAGTAAAAGAAAAGTGATTCCAAAAAAATTCCATTGGTAGTGTAAGTGAGTATACGTTGAAACGAGGCGAGTGTTGGACGATTTTAGCTGGCAAAATGTCCAAGAATGCATAATCCAGCGAAAACCGCAGGCGCTGCGAGTTGGCACGAAATATTTTGCCGGTCATGAATAAATTCGGAGCCGCAGCGTTGCCGCAGTGACCAGATCCCTAGTTCCATTCTGATGCAGTCGTTGCAGCGGTTTCATGAGTCTCGTCCATACAAAGCATCCATCCCAACTCGCCTCTTGCGTATCCGCCCTTTCTCATTCGTTCGCCAAATTTGTACGCGCCCTTTCGTATTTGATCTTCCAGTACGAAATCAAGTTGGTTATACACTCGCGTAATTCGTCTTTTATTGCGAATTGCCAGCAATCGTATCTTGTTATACGAAAATTGCCTTGCCTGAATGGCGAGATGTAGATATTAGATTGGTGTACATGAAATATTTTATTAAATAAAATATTAAATAAATTATTTTCTTAAAATATCGTACATTATTAATTAATTAATTGGATTTAAATTTTATATCATTTGATAATATTATTATACGATTAAGAAACTTGATAATTGTGAAAATAATATATAAATATGATTAATATTATTATTTCATTTATTATTTTATATAAAAGAATTGTTTAATCAATAATTCAGATTTCCTATCAAAGTTACACACAGTTATATTTTCTTAATTTATCGACTACATTTTAAAATAATTTCCTCGTCTTTAAACTTATTCTAATTATTCAAAGAGATTCGTAATAAAAATTTTAATACTTTTTATTACAAATTTTGTCAATATATTCGATACAAAATTGCATTCTTTTTAATGATATTAATTTCAAATTTCTGAAAAAATTTTATATGCACCAATCTAATAAATATCGATTAATTAAATTAAATATTAATTAAATAATTAATTAAATATCGATTTAATTTAGATTCATGAATGAGTTAACTCACGTTACTCGATAGAATTTTATTGTCCAGTTAATTAATCTCATAACCTTGCATACGGTACACGCATTCACAATCCAACTGAATTATTTATCGGCTCGAGCCGGTGAATAACCAAATAATCACGCTTAAAATACAGCAGGATAAAGTCGATTTAGTAGAACTGTCTTCCATGATCGTATCTTTGACCTTAAGTAACTGTCACTGTAGTTAGGGATGAGACAATAAATTTGCCAGTTCGCGGTACATAGAAGTCAACTTCGCCATTACAATTTTAAACTAATTGGAAGTTTGTGTCCTCGATTTTTTGATTAATCGTTTCTTGCATCTCTTATTATTTATACAACAGTGTTTCTCAATTTTTTCAATGTACGGATCCAAAATAATTAATTTTAATAATCGATTAAAACTTTCATCTGTATTTATGTGATTAGCAAATTTATATAAGATTAAAATTGCTGAGATGTAAAATAAAAAAAAGAAAGAAGAAAAAATATTTTAAAAACGTGATAAATTATAATCATTGCATAAACAAAATTCTTTATTTTTCTTTAATTGTTCCATCAAGATTTCATCAAGAATTAATTGCAATCAAACATTGATTTAGATTAGATTATCATCTATTGCGTTTAATAAATAAATAAAATCTTTTACATTCGGATATAATAATTCGAACATAGTATTTCGAGCATTGATTGAAAAACTAGTTTATACACTTTATAACATATTACGATAATAAACATATTTTGAATACTTTATGTCTTACTACGTGTACAATATTATTAATAAATAAAAATATATAAATTTATCAGGTATAAATATACGTAATGAAATGTAAATGTAAATCATCGATAATAAATATTTTCAAGTTTTAC